AGGAGAGAAATAAGAGGAAGACTAATGGAACCGCGAGAAATCAAGTTAGCCGAGGGACGGGAAATCTGTTGCCAGAGGGGTTTAAGTGGAGAAAGCTGGAAACGGTGTGTTCCTCGATCGCGGGAGAAGAGAAGAAATGAAACTCGTGGCGTTGGAGAAAAATGATACGAAGAAGCAGAAACTTAATTCTTACATACGAGTGTTATATAACGTACAAATTTTGTATAGATATGAAATATTTTCAGTAGAAACTGAGAATATATAAAATTAGTCGAGAAGTTTAACATACTTATCTGATATTCAGACAATTTTCACTTGGCATAGTTTGCTCTTAACATTTTGCCAACCGATAGCATTTGGATATATAATTAAATTTAACACTTTGATGACCGCTCACGCAACATGATTGATGAATGTAAACAAGTGTGGATATTACTATTGGCTTCGTATTTCATCGGTACGTCTTTGATTTTAGGTAATTATTGTTTTGTTGCCTGGTTTTAATTGTAGATTTTTTAAATTAACACTATGCCGTCCGCGTACACTATAGTGGTGGCGTATCAGTAATTAAAAAGAAAGCCTAAATATATTATGTGTAAGACTTGCCAAGTACCGTTACATGTAGGTGATTGCTTCAATAAATATAACAGAAAGGAAGAATATTAAATATGTTGTTATTGTCGTTGTTCTGTTTTATTTTATGTCTTTTATTTTTGCACATGTTGAATTATTTCGTGAATTTACATAAAGATTTTTTAAATTAATTTTTAAAAAATATTGCCGGCCCCTGGCGACGTTTGACTACGTAGACGTACGGCCATTAAAGTGTTAATAATATTTTTTTATTGCAGTAGTACTTACAGTATTTATTTTATCTATTAGAATCGCTTTCAGATTAATATTTGTATAGTGTTTTATAATTCATATAATGATGGGAGCATGCTGGAGAAAGAACTGTATACCAAAGGTTGAAAACGGACATTTGACCAGTCGTGATAAATTTAGCGTTAGTGTACTCTACACGAGTTCAAGCAAAATAGAGATTTCCCATTTAAAACTACTTAAATCGATCCTCGGCAGAGAAGAGGCCTTCTTGAATTAAATGCATCTCCTATTACAGTTTTTAATAATATAAATAATCTCGTTCTGTTATTCGATAGCGGTAGTACAGCTTGTACGTATCACCTACTCGATTAGATACCAGGAAAAATATCCAAACCGTCGACAACCATCGCGACAATTGTTTTACAAATTGAATAACAGTTTGCAACACTATGGTGCATTTACCAAACCCAAAAGAGAAGTTCCAAAACCAGTAACAGGAAATGAAAACAACAGAGTGAACATACTCGCTTATTTACAGTGGAAACCCAAAGCATCTACACGAGAAATATCGAGAGAATGCAATGTAAGCCTCGGTAGTGTGAAACAAATTTTAAAATCAGAGAAGCTTCATCCGTATCGATTTAGTGTTGGACATCCCGTACATGCTATGCCCTTACATGATAAATTTAGCGTTAAGTAGTGTACTCTACTCGAATTCAAGCAAAATAAAGATTTCCCATTTAAAACTGCTTAAATCGATGCTCGGCAGAGAAGAGGCCTTCTTGAATTAAATGCATCTCCTATTACAGTTTTTAATAATTAAAATAACCTCGTTCTGTTATTCGATAACGGTAGTATATCTTGTACGTATCACCTACTGGATTAGATCGAAATAAGAGCCTACGTAGTTCTCACCCTATAGAAATAATCCTGCCGCGCACATTTTAAATGCCAACAGCAGCGGCAATTTTGCACTAAACGAATCAATCGCATCAAATAGAAACTCGTAGATAGATACGTGATCGGCATGATCGCATAGCGCGGTCGCAGAAGTCTCGAAGAAATGTTAAATTTCACGGTCTGGTCGTAGGCGATCGACGGCATCCCCGAATGCGACCGCGGCGTCGAACGAGCGGAAACGTATTTCTCTCGTGTGCTCCGCTCGTTTCTCAACAATCATTCACAGGAACATTCGCCGCAGCGCCCATGTTTCATGCGATTTGAATAATAATCTATCCGGTTAACTAGATCGAGAGCTCGCCAAAGTGAGTGTCGAGCACGAGCCAAAAACCAACGGCAAACGGCAAACGGCAAACGGCAAACGACAAACGGCAAATGACAAACGGGAAACGAGCCGAGCGACTTGGTTGGCTCTCGCTCGTTTGTCGGCGTACGGAGCAAAAGTTACGCAAACATGCGTGAACGAGATCGAAAACGGTACGAGTCTCGCAAACTCGGAACTAGGGCTGCTTTATGTCCCGATGAATTCGATTCGTACGTTCCTCTATTGTTCTTTCGGTGTTCGTCGGAGACATCCGTTCGCGGAGAGGACGAATTCCGAACTCAAAGGTGAGCGCGTATCTATGATATCCGTATTATATCGCCACCCAGCGGTGCAGATTCCCAGTGATAACCGCATAATAGGGCCGTTCTCGACCTACATAAATATTGAGGTAATGGGCAAATAATGATCCACACGAGCATTTCAATATCGGACCTATAATCCAGACGCGGTCTCTGCACTTGCTCGCGTGTACAGCGACGTGCAAAAGTTTACGGAAAGAAAAATTTCTCACCTTCTATTTGTCACCTTCCGGAATTGATATTTCAATTACAGGGGGTGTAGAAAGTATTCGTACACCGATCAATTTCCAAAAAAACTATATGAAATTGTAATTTATTAACTTTTAATTTAATTAATTACATTAATTTAATTTAATTACTTTAATTAATTTTTTATAAACAAAGACATTCTACATATTCTCGGAAATCTCTAGACTAGATAGCTATTTATGTGAGTTACGAAATTAACAAAAAAAAACAATTAATCGATAGAAATATTGAAGCAATAAGTATTCGCACAACAGTTTAATTTTTAAAAGTTCGTTAAAAAAAAAAGAAATTTACATTAATTTATAAGTATATAATATTAGATAGATCGAGAAGTAGTGTCGTTTCTTCTACATTAAATTCAAACAAATTTTAAATAAATTTATATTTTTCGCCGTCGTTATCAACAGCCTTTTGCCATCTAGTCTTCAAATTTTCAATGCCAGATCGTTAAAAAACAACGAGCTGATGAGTACTTTAAACAAGTATTTCAAATTGCAAAAACGACATTACTTCCCAGTCCATCTAATACTTCCTTCGTGAGATTTCTTTTTGATTTTATAATTATTGCAACTCTTCTAAGCGTTAAATTAACTAAATTATTAGTTATTCGAAGTGGGATCTTCTTCAATTCCTCTGTTCGAGCCATTTTTTAAAGTATTTTACTGGAACTTTGATATTTACTTATTCGTACGGAGCAATAAATTAATGTGTTTACGTTACAAACTGTACTGTAAATGGTTCGTCGTAAGTAGACTGCGGATCTTTATGCAACCTAAACCTAACTAGGAACCTAACCTATAACCTAAATAGGAATTTATTTTATTTTGCAAATATTATAACATGAACTTTACTTTCAATCTTTTTATGTTCTTCCATATTGTTTGCAATTTGTATTTAGTTTCTTGCATATTCAAATTTCCTATAAATACATAAAGATCCGCAGTCTAGTCATAAGAATCGTACAAATACTGATTGCTTCTATACTTTTCCCAACTTTTCATATGCAAGGAAATTGTAGTTTAGAATCGACTTAGCTACCTCCCATATCCAATTCTTACGTTAATTCTGGGACACCCTGTACTCCTTCCTGTATAATATGATTGCAATCAATCGATAACAGAGTAGACTAAAATGGATCTTATTCACCCGAGTAATTGAAACACTGGAAAAACAACATTTCATATGCACCAACCCAATATTATCGAAGCTCTTTACAATTTAATAAGTAATGTCGTGTTTATTAATCAGATATACAAATAACTGGTACAAGGTACTCAAAGAATGAATTTAAATACAAGATCCTGATCCATCTTCCAGTGAAATAAGATAATAGCACGAGGTAGGTACGGTTACCCGTGCGTTGACGATAAACGCGGATAATACGGATATCTTGTAAACTCGGAGCGACCGTATTATATGTTTCTGCAATTTTCTTGGTAATGATTCCCGTCGCTGTGCTCGTGTCTAAGTAAACGAACACGTAAACAGCCCTAGTTGTGGTTATTACCGCCGCGCAAACGTAGCGATAATTGCGAAAGAGATGAGGAAGGCCGATAAACTTTATCCGGAGTTTACACCGAAAAGCTCGTGGTTGGATTTAAAATCGCCGACTCGACACCAGCCCACATTTTTCCGTAACTTTTGGAACGTAGCGTCGTCGCGATATGAGATGCACTCTGACATCAAATAGACTGTTCTACTTTGAAATGCAATATGCACGACGATGGTACCTCTCTTGTTAAGTCGAGTGGACACTCGTTTCTTCTTTCGTTTGTTTGTTACGACATAACGTGCACGAGTATGTCGGCATATATTAGAAACGGCCGAGGAGGAAGAACGTTTACGCGCATGATCGTGTTGATACGCGCATACGCGTCGTCGTGTACGTCGTATACCTTCTATACGTCCTCCTCGAGAGATGAGAATACGAAAGTTGTTTTCGCACTGTACATATAGTACGCTTATTAGCGGTAAAGTGTGAAAGAGAGCCGAGGGTTCGATAAATATTGAAACGTAATTCTGCATCGAACAATTGTAAATTGTAAACGTACTCGCCTATTCGATTAACGCGATATTCCAATTAGAACGCACTTGGAAAAACACGTGTCGGAATACCGAATAGTAATTCGATCTTTACGTTTACGTTTCATTTGACCAGGAGAATATGCTAAATTATTCGCTAAATTGTAAACAACCCGAAAATATTTTGGAAGAAATGGATGTCCAAACGGCTTCTGTCTGTCGGCAGCATGCTACGCCACTACTGTATGTATAGAGTATGTAATGTGAAACTATAGAAGATGTAATTAGAATATAGAACAAGAAGCAGCAGGCAAACTCACTTGTTGTAGAGGACTATGTCGGGCCGCCATATGTGGTCAGAGGGCACGTGTAACATATGGACCCCTCCGTACTCCTTTGGCTCCCATCGCAGCTTGTAATCGTACCATGACTTGAAACAACCAACACAAAAAATATAACCATATTATTGATCCGTTTTTCCGACGACTAGAGTTTTAAACAAAACCGAGTTGTATTTTGGTTAATCGATCGCGCTCGTCGACGATCTCGTTAGCTCTTTGAGGCACACGATTATAAAAGAAAAATAACACTCAAGCTGCACAGAAGAACAGTGTCAACAACTTGTCAACGCGTTTGGCTTATATACATTTCTAATTCCGTTTATTGTACTTTTAGCGTTACTTCGCAGGATTGCCACATGGGTAAAAATGTCGAATAGGAGTCCACCACTATGACCTTGACATGTGTCTTCAAGGGCACCCTTCTGAGTAACTTTTACTAATAACTTAATCGTCGCTCACTGCTTATTAAAGAGTTGTTAATAAAAAAAGTTGGTAACTATTTTGGTTACAGACGGGACTTTGCAGTTATACTTTACCTTTTTTCTATATATATATAACCTATACCACAATCTTTACTCGTACAGTAAAAAAATTGCAGCGCAATACGCAGGTGTGCACTCACACTCGTAAGTATCTCATACATTAATTACTTATTGAACTCATTTGCGTGGCAATCGTATAACTTTTTATTTGCGTTATTGTATAGTAAATTAATGTATGACTTTATGAATATATCATTAAATTATATGACTCACGAATCAGAGAATATCCGGAGGGGACAATTTAAAGGAACTGCTGTTAAAAAATCGGTAAAATTCTTTTTTCTATAGCTGATATATATCTATGTAGGAAACATCTGTAAAAAAGGTTCAGAGGAATCTAGTCACGGTATTTGTTTGCCATTTATTTTCAACAATTAAGATTTTGCGCTTCGTCGTTTTTACAATGGCTAATATCTAAGAAACTAATTTTCTTATACTATAATATGGTCTTTATTCCAAATTAAAATATAAAACTCAGTGAACGCGTCCGTTCGTCTTTAGCCTGTAGTACTCGTTTGGTACTCTCGACCGGGTGCGAGCCCCCGAACCCCCATTTTTTTACTGTACAAGTAAAGATCGTGGTATAGGTTATATGTATAGAAAAAAGGTAAAGTTTAACTAGAAAAGTGCTATATATAACCAAAATAGTTACCACCTTTTTTTGTCACGAACTTTTTAATAAGCAGTGTGACGACGGTTAAGTTATTAGTATAAGTAAACTCAGGAGGGTGCCCTTGACAACATATGTCAAGGTCAAGGTCATACGGTTTCTCTATTCGGCATATTTACCCATTTATGTACCCATTTGTTTCGCCATATTGGATCCACTACATATGTTGAATATCTACATTTTGAATTCAGACTTGGGATCAAGGCTTTTAAAAAGTCTTGTATACCAAGTTTCATGGAATTCTTACGAAAAGAAAAATGTATGCTTCAAAGAGTCAAATGATTAGGAATAATTTACCCCCTGATAAGGGTGACTGTCGACAAGAACATTAAATTAAGTTTATATCAAGTTTGATTCAACACAATGTTATAACGAGACTGCGGATCTTTATGCATTTGTAGGAAATTTGAATGTGCAAGAACCTACAAAATGCAAACAATATGCAAAAATATAAAAAAGATTGAAAGTAAAGTTTATGTTATAATATTTGCAGAATAAAATAAATTCCTAGTTAGGTTCAATTTTTTTAGGCACGTTCACGAACATTTTATTTTGCATAAAGATCCGCAGTCTAATTATAATATTCATTATCTTAGTAATCATTATCTTATAATATCTTATCTTAACCTCTTAAGCTACAACCACGCATGAGACTCGTGGTCGGATATTCGGGCCAAAACTGATTATCACGAGCCTGGCCCGTGGTGTATTGTTCGGCCCAACTGTAAACATCACATTTTGGTCCCACGCTGGTAGAGGTTATTGTATAAGAAAGTTTGTACCTTTTCGTATGAACTTTAAGGGGCAATTTTAACCTCATAAATATGAAAACAGGCTAAAATAAAAAATATGCAAAGTTCAAAAACATGCATTCTTAGTGAATTTCTCGTGGAATTTACAATTACGATGTTATCAAATCTGTATGAAAACAGAACAAAGTAAAACATATCCAAAGTATGCAAAGTATGTAAATTTTCAAAAACATTCATCGTAAGTGAGTTTTACGTGACATTTACAATAATGATGTTATCGAATCCGTAACTTCCGTAACGAAGTGAACTATGGAACCACTTATACTCGGTTTGCACCTCGTGCGGATTACATCGTAAATAAAACTTGCAGAGAGAATTTATCACACGTGTACTTCTATATCCGCGCGATCTGTCGCGATGGCACGTTGCTCATCGACACGCAACCTTCGCGTATCCCGAACCCAACACGAACAAACCCGTACGTCGGCGTGCACCGCCCACATCCACCCACGTACCTTTTGCAGTTCCCGCGCACATACGTGTATCGAAGGAAACATACGTGCCTCGTCACCGGAACATATCGAAGCAGAAAATTGTGCCCTGGAATTGGGCGGGATTTCATGGAGCCGCGCGAGGAAGGGAAACATTCTGCGAGAACGAAGTGGTTGCGGGAACGGAAGAAAGTTAGAAATGCTAGACGTAGATCTGGCGGAGCCGTGTAGGTCGTAGAGGGTGGAACGTATTTCACGGTAACAAGAAAATGGGAAGGAGGATCTCTATCCTTAGATGGCTGACTCGAATGTTTCGCCTGAATGGGTTCACAGTGAATACATGCTTCTGTGAAAATAACGCCATACAGACTCTCGGCGTAGGTATGTAATGACGCGTTGACAGATTCGAACGCGTCGAATGTCGAGCTACTTTGCAATATCTTTCGATACACATACAGCGAGTAACTTTAATACTCGGACACTATGAGATTTTTACTTTGTTACATCATAACTTCGTTTCTAATCAAACAAATAAAAAACATAATCAAGTATTATATTAAGGTGTATGTGTAGTAAGCAATAGTATAAGTTTTACTTACATAACTTACAATAATTGTTAAATAACACGATTTAAACAAAGCATTGGCTGATTTTCGCGATACTTTAATATTTGGACACTTGGTAGTGTAGCATCTTTTCTAACTGTTTACGCAGAGTTAACAAGCCTTATTTCATCAATTATTCTTCGATAACCGTTACGTGCATGTGCCTAATGGCACGCAAAAGCAATACCACGTATAATATACCACAACTTGTGATTTTTCACAATGCAAAGCGGAAATCATGTAGACAAATTGTTGCCATACTCAACATGAGTAAGAGTACAGTGGCAAATATCATCAAACGGTTCAAATACGAGGATCGTATAGACTCTATACCCCAAAAGGTACAACTGAACAAGTTGCACGTGATAAGAGGAAACTAATAAGAAAAATAAAGAAGGATCATTCACTCGGTGCACAAAATTAGCAACAGAGCTCTTAAACGAGACTGGGAAGAAGGTACATTCCCTAACAATCCGCAGAGCCTTAAAAGATAGTGGTTACAATGGAAGAGTAGTTAGGAAGAAACCGTATGTGAATGAACAGAATCGAAAGAAGAGATTAAATTTTGCTGCTAAAGAATTTGTTTTCAAGGAAGAAACATGGTGGAACGATGTCATTTTTACCGACGAAAGTAAATTTAACATTTTCGGATCAGATGGACAAAGGGTGGTGTGGCGCAAGAAAAATAAAAAATTTAAATTTAAAAATCTAAGGCCAACTGTAAAGCATGGAGGAGGTAGTGTGCTTGTTTGGTGCTGTATATCCACATTTCGGCTGGGCGAATTAGTTTTTATTGACAATATTATGGACAAAAATATGTATTTGAACATATTAAAAAATAACTTACACAAAAGCGCTACACAAATGGGAATTTTAAACACATTTAAGTTTTACCAGGACAATAACCCGAAACATAAGGCACGCATCGTGCAAGAATATTTACTGTACAATTATCCAAAAGTTTTACAACCACCACCTCAATCACCTGACCTCGATCCTATCGAAAATGTGTGGAATGAACTAGAGCGACGTATCAGAACAACAACAATATCTTCAAAAGAAATGTTGAAACATCGGTTAAAAGAAGAATGGGACAAAATAACTATGGAATATTTTTAAAAAATCATTAGCAATATGCCACAACATTTAAAAAAACTGATACAACAGAATGGCTACCCAACAAAATATTAAAACACATATTATTATAAAAATTAGCCTCAAAAAAACATAGTTTCTAAAAGTGTCTGAATATTAAAGTAACGCGAAAATCAGACAACGCTTTGTTAAAATCGTGTTATTTAACAACTACAGTAAGTTATAAAACTTATACTATTGTTTACTAAACATATACGTTAATATAATACTTGATTATGTTTTTTGCTTGTTTTGTTAGAAACGAAGTTACGATGTGATAATGTAAAAATCTCATAGTGTCCGAATATTAAAGTTACTCACTGTACCTACACATTCAGTTATTATTTATTTCGCGTAATTACTGTAACATTGAAGCAGGGGTGCCACAGGGCACAGTGTTCTCGGGCCTGTATATTACTATCCAGGGTGGTCCACGCAATTGTTTCAAATAGTAACTCCATTATTATTGCATTTACGAAGAAATGCAAAGGAGAAAGATAAATGGTTCGAAGAGCACTACATTTGTAGGCCCTTAAATTGTTTTTAGCAAGACTGTACCAGCAAAAATATCCAAACCGTCGAAAACCATCGCGACAATTGTTTTACAAATTGAATAACAGTTTGCAACACTATGGTGCATTTACCAAATCCAAAAAAGAGAAGTTCCAAAACCAGTAATAGTCTCTAACTAACACTCTAACACTCTCGACCAGCACTAGGTTCGACGCAGTAAGTCAACCAGAAATAATGTTTGTTTAGGTTTAATTTTGTTGGAACTCAAAGTGTCGATAAAATGATTGTCGGGGAGGTAAAGGTGACCTCAATTGAGGTTACTTAATTCGACATGTATGTAGGAAGGCCGACTGTTAAGACAAAACCGACGGTCATTGCTCCC